GCAATTCTTAAGTGCACAAACACAATTATTTATTATTGCTTTTCGTCTGGACATTCTCTTCTTGGGAATTGCAAGTGATATAAATAGTCCTGATCCGTCAATAATGATTGTTTTGTTAAAGTGAGGAATATCTCGTCTTTCAAGATGAGCTTGTAATAAAAATGTTTGTGTTCAGCTCTTATGATTTTTATATTTCACCTTAGTTCATGTAGTTCTTGAAAGTATGTCTCTATAGAAACATAAGAACCATAAGAAAGCCTTTCTCCCCATACTATTTACATTATTATTGCACATTGACATAACAAATGTTTAACAATACGCATCCTTTTGTACTTTTATTGGCCATGATTTGATTCATTAATGATATCTTTTGTAAAATTATAAGAAATTTCAATCATATCAACTTTGCTACAAAAAGTTTAAGTTTCAGTTGCAACTTGCTCGCTGCTAAGATAAAAAAGATTTGTTATATGGTCAAGATATAACATGTATAATGTATGAAAATAAGCTGCCAAGTCTTGTTATCCACTCCAAAAACTAATTGTCTAGCTCAAATTTTACTCAAACCCCAGTTTCAGCATAATATGCAGCTCCAAATGACTAATATTCTCATTTACAAGTATCCTTAACACTTTTATTAAACTGTATTGCATGTTAAATATCACATCAAAGCTTTTTTATTGTAATGTGTTTCTTCCTGTTTCTAATGATTTATGACCGATTAACAGAAACGGTCCCAGACGCATACGCAGATTAGCTCGAATACTGCAGAAATAAAAGTCTCCAAGGAATCCAAGAATATGAAATAAGAATAAAGAATTGATTTAACACACCAAAATGTCACGCAACAGACACTCAAAACACATAAGCCTAGTGTTGTTATCACTATTTTATTGAAGAGGCATGGAGGTTATACAATTTGTTTCTTAAAGGCATGAATTTAAAATCCCTCCAAAAGATCGCAAAATGGTCTTTGCTTCCTGTGGAAACATAAAACACGGCATTCAAAACGAAGTTACGAACAACGTAATTAAGATTCAATCTAAGTAAATGCATTTTCATGTTCCAAACCAAAAAAATGTTAGCAATTGATCAAACAATAAATGCTTGCGTCAGTTTCAAGTTTAATAGTATTCTTGAAATATGGATAAAATACGTAAGAATGTATTCAATGTATATTAACAGAAGTCTTAATCAATACCAGCATATGTGTTTATATTGTAGAACGCAATTTTATTAATCAGTCATACATTTAACTATTCCTACAATTGTAAGCAAAAGTACTTTCATCTGTATTCGAACTGTATTATATACATGTATGATTGACATTAATTCTTTTTTCTTTTCAACACTCATATATTCTTGTTATATGCTGTACAAATGTTGTAAAGGGGCCGGAGGCCTAAGTACAAAATAAACTTTGAAACTTGAAACTGGATCTTTAATTTATTCAATTCTACGGCATACATAGGAACCCTTATATAATCATACTGACATTTGGTCAATATTATTGCAACCGATGAAAAATAATGATAAATATCAAAAATAAAAATGATAAATATGAAAATAAAAATCGTAAATATCAAATAACACTGGAAGAAGTTGTAAATATGGATTTAAAATATTTTCATGATTATATTATATCAAGTTTATCATTATTGTTGTTAATTCTTGTTGCGTTAAAGCGCTCGAATACAAACGAGACTACAGGCATTCTATCAAGCGTTTACCTTTCAATGCATTATACTTTTACCAAGGACAAAAGTTTCTTAATCATTTGTGTGCACATTTGAAGTACAAAACGCACATGTTTTAAACAATAAACAAATGCAGTGTAAACTTCAAACAGTTCGTCTGGGAAGATTACTAGTCTTGAAATATTGCATAGATTCCATTGTTTTTATTCCGAGAAAGGAATACTGTTGACGCCGGTGCTAGAGGGTATAGGCTGAGTTGCACTTATAATTCCAGTTTGTGATACACCTCGAGCAAACAGAGTCTACAGTTTTCACATACTGCATTGTTGTCACAGGTCTCGATGACATTTCTATTTTCGTACGTCTTCTTGTTTCCTGACAGTGCTAATTGTAAAGTCACAATTAAATATTACTGGTATTGTATGAATGTCAAGCATTGTAAGATTTGAAACATAGATTCTGTATTTAAAAATTGCAACACATCGTGAGTTACAACATAGTTAAGATTGGTTCGTAAAAACAATCAATTACAGTATAGATATTTTAAATGCAAATATTAAATGTTTAAAAGCATGCATCTAACTATGCATTTCAAATAATATACTAAATTCCATTTGTGCAACATTAGCATTTTAAAGATCTTTTTAACATCAAATACCAACAGTGTTTAAATAAGAAAAAACAACTCATAAAAAAACTTTCTTTTTTATCAGTTGTAGTGTATTTCCAATCAAATTATCTTTAAATTATTACATAACTCTTTCTGCATGCAGCTTTAAGGCACAATACAATGTACACTTTTACGGCAATGTTTGGTTGTCAAAACTTCATCTATGTCAACATGGTGTTTCTCAGGCCATCATATTGAAATCAAATTGACTTGTTGAAGCAATGTTTATTACTTTACACGGTGGCGCAATTCTCAATTGCACAGACACACTTATTAATTATTGCTTTTCGTCTGGACATTGTCTTCTTGGGAATTACAAGTACTAAAATAGTTCTGACCGGTCAATAATTATTGTTTTGTTAAAGTGAGGAATATCTCGTCTTTCAAGATGAGCACGTCGTAAAATGTTTGTGTTCAGCTCTGATTTTTTTATATTACACCTAGCTTAGTTCTTGATAGTATACGCGTCTCTCTACAGAAACATAATCACCATAAGAAAACCTTTCTCCTCATACTAGTTACAACATTAATGCACATTGACATAACAAGTGTTTAAAACTACACATACTTTTGTTGGCCATGATTTGATTCATTTATTATATTTATTGTAAAATTATGAGAAACTTCAATCATATTAAGTCTGCTCAGAAAAGTTTGATTTTCAGTTGCAACTTGCTCGCTGATAGAATAAGAAAGATTGCGTTATTTGGACAAGATATAATGTATAAAAGTAAGCTGCCAAGTCTTTAAATCTACTTCAAAAACTAATTGTTAAGCTCTATGTTTTGCTCACATCCCAGTTTTACCATATATGCAGCTTCAAATGACTTGTCATAGAAAAATATTCACATTTACAACTATCCTTATATAGTTTATACAATTTTATTACACTGTGTTGCATGTTAAAATCACATCAAAGCATTTTTCTTGTAATGTGTTTGTTCCTGTTTCTAATGATTTATGACCGATTAACAGAAACGGTCCCAGACGCATACGCAGATTAGCTCGAATACTGCAGAAATAAAAGTCTCCAAGGAATCCAAGAATATGAAATAAGAATAAAGAATTGATTTACCACACCAAAATGTCACGCAACAGACACTCAAAACACATAAGCCTAGTGTTGTTTATCACTATTTTATTGAAGAGGCATGGAGGTTATACAATTTGTTTCTTAAAGGCATGAATTTAAAATCCCTCCAAAAGATCGCAAAATGGTCTTTGCTTCCTGTGGAAACATAAAACACGACATTCCAAACGAAGTCAAGAGCAAAGTTATAAAGAATCAATCTTAATAAATGCATTTTTATGTTCCAAACCAAAACATATGAGCCATTGATCAAACAATAAATGCTTGCTTCAGTTTCAAGTTTAATAGTATTCTAGAAATATGGATTCGTAAAATACGTAAATACTTAAGAATATATTTAATGTATATTAACCAAAGTCTTAAGCAAAACAAGTATTTGTGATGACATTGTAAGACGCAATTGTCTTAATCAGTCATGCATTTAACTATTCACGACAGTATGAAAAAATAATTTCATATGTATTAGAACTGTATTATATACATATGTATGTTTGACATTACTTGCATCTTCTTTTCAACACTCGTATGTTTTTGTAATATGCTGTACAAATGTTGTATGGCCAGGGGCCTTAGTACGAAATAAACTTTGAAACTTGAAACTTGATCTTGTGTTTATCTACGGCCTTTAAATCATACTGATACTTGGTCAATATTATTGCAACCGATAAAGTTAATGATATCAAATGATATATCAAAATAAAAATGGTAAATATGAAAATAAAAATCGTAAATATTAAATGACAATGGTAGATGTTGTAAATATGGATTTAAAATAGTTTTTCATTTACTGATTATATTGTATCAAGTTTATCATTATTATTATTGTTGTTGTTATTGTTCTTGGTGGTGCTGGTAGTATTGTCATTTTATGACTTTGGTAACCAATTTAAGCAATATCTATTTGTTGCTACTTGATTTGATATATTTGAATTATACGAAGTATACATAATGAAGTTCAACCAACATTAGAACATTTAAGGGATGGTTTTAAAGTTGCCCCGTACTTCACTTCAGTGTTGTTATATTTTTTCTGGTCCTTCGCGATCATTGATGCCAGCACTATTAAGTGTTGAGAATTGAGTACCGCTCAAACCGATGCTAGGGGGCGTGAGGGATGTTTCACTTATTCATTATCCCTCATGTACAGACTCAATCAAACCGAGTCTGCAATTTTCATATAATTTTGTTGTGATTTATGCTTCCGAGGGATCACTTTGTTTCCAGATTTTGATAATAAGACGTTAATTTGTTTTATTTGTTCAAACAGTAGAGTAAAACTAGACAATATAAATAAAACAAAGTATATTATAATACAAAATAAATTACAAGAAAATTTATTGTTCCGGATACTTTCCAACTATAAAATGATAAAATTAGTGTAACAGTCACAAATTCTTAAATCTTTGTTGCTCTAAAGCTCTTTGTATCAGAAGGTACGTGAAATGAAAAAAGTTAAACATATAAAAAGAAACGATTAAAAACGAACATTATTTCACCGGCAAAATAATTCGTTAAAGTTGAAGCAAATATCTAGTTTACATACCTCAGCTTATGTTAGTCATTCAGAAAACCCTTTACATATCCAACATTGTAGAATGTCGCACAAGTTCTTGCGTCTTATAATTCAATCAAATCTACAGATAAAAAAAATAAAGCACCAACTATTTCGCATTTCCTTAGGTAAAATCTAAAGGAATAATTGTATGCACAAACTTTTATCAGATACACTCGCGGTCTAGCTAACTACTACCAATTCTCCCTTCAATTGGGGCATTGCACAGCGATGTATCATTTACGGAACACTGCATCACTTTGTATCTTTTAAAGGACATAGCACCACTATGTTTCATTTACAAAAATCAGCTCATCAATTCCAGTCAGATAGGGACAAGGAAGTAGATTGCGTGAAAATTTTCAGTATAACTATCATGCGTGTTTCAGCAGTAAAACACCGAATATTTCTGTCAAGTAAAATCTATCATTTCAAGACATTAACAGGAAAATCAATAACATAATTTATTAATAGATTCAAGATATGAATAATCATGCTTTAAGCATAGGAAACAGAATGTAATCTTATAATTTATACTATCCATTAGGTTTAAATCATTAAAATGATTAAATCTTGCACTAGTTATGTTTTGTTTCGTTCCTTCTGCAGCAAAAGAAAAAAGAAAAGATGGTGCTGTTTATTCAAGAAGCCGATGGCATTTAAATCACCTATGATCCATTACACTAAATGGAATTCACATTTTTTGTTCTCTTATGAAACACTTTTTCGACATATTTACCTTATTAATAATAGTTCGCAGTTGTTTCTATTTGATCGCTTCGAACCATAAAAATATATATTAAATTTTGTTTTCATTATTTTAAACTTTAATTTACCCAACTTATTACTGTTCTTATCGATAACACTGAGGAAAACTTATATGATTTGTATGAGGTTAAAATTTGATATAAAGGTCATGCTATTACATTAAATATTTCCTGGAAAACATGGGAATACACAACCAGCATTTACATCTATTACATTCAGATGAAATTACATTTTGAACAAGAATTATAAGGGTTAATTTATCAAGGTATTTTATTAAATTCAAATGTCTTCCCATTGATGTCGATATAATACTATTGTTGTGCGAATTGAACAAATCATTGCGATTTCTTTATTATCTTTTCACTTTGTATATTCTTATATCAAAAGCATAAAATACATAATCAACTTCAGCTTTGTTTTAAGCAAGCGTTTAGATAAAAAGAACGTTTGCTTTATTACAACAAGAGCACCGCTAGGCGGGGCATTATATGCCCGAAAGTACTTTAGCTGAAGGTTGCTTAATGCTTGAATTATTGAGCGAAAACTGTTTCCAGTTTAAAGGTGATAGTAACCTTGATCTTTGATCTTGTGACCCCAAAATCAATAGGGGTCTTCTACCCAATATGGACAATCATCCTATGAAGTTTGAATACTGTGGACCAAATGAAACTTAAGTTATGCTCCGGAAACCATTTTCAGTTTTAGGGTAATATCGACCTTGACCTTTGACTTTGTGACCCCAAAATCAATAGGGGTCTTCTACCCAATATGGACAATCATCCTATGAAGTTTGAATACTGTGGACCAAATGAAACTTAAGTAATGCTCCAGAAACCATTTTCAGTTTTAGGGTAATAGTGACCTTGACCTTTGACTTTGTGACCCCAAAATCAATAGGGGTCTTCTACCCAAAATGGACAATCATCCTATAAAGTTTGAAAACTGTTGGCCAAATGGAACTTAAGTTATGCTCCGGAAACCATTTTCAGTGTTAAGCTAATAGTGACCTTGACCTTTGACCTTGTGACCCCAAAATCAATAGGGGTCTTCTACCCAATATGGACAATCATCCTATGAAGTTTGAATACAGTGGGCCAAATGGAACTTAAGTTATGCTCCAGAAACCATTTTCAGTATTAAGCTAATAATGACCTTGACCTTTGACCTTGTGACCCCAAAATCAATAAAGGTCTTCTACCCAATATGGACAATCATCCTATGAAGTTTGAAAACTGTGGGCCAAATGAAACTTAAGTTATGCTCCGGAAACCATTTTCAGTTTTACGGTAAAAGTGACCTTGACCTTTGACCTTGTGACCCCAAAATCAATAGGGGTCTTCTACCCAATATGGGCAATCATCCTATGAAGTTTGAAAACTGTGGGCCAAATGGAACTTAAGTTATGCTCCGGAAACCATTTTCAGTTTTAGGGTAATAGTGACCTTGACCTTTGACCTTGTGACCCCAAAATCAATAGGGGTCTTCTACCCAATATGGGCAATCATCCTATGAAGTTTGAATACTGTGGGCCAAATGGAACTTAAGTTATGCTCCGGAAACCAAATTGCTAACGGACGGACGGACGGACAGACGGACGCCAGGGGGTATAACATAATATGTCCGAAATTCTTTCGGGCATATAAAAAGGCTTGACTTTAAATGACAATACAGGTATGCAATTTATAAAGGTGTTCTGCAGCTGATTTCTAGGTCCGAATTAATTTGATTTCTCATACATTTCAAAAGAGGATTCTAAAGGAAACAGAAAAAAAATCAGTAAGAAGTACAGAATGCAATCATAATATACGTTAATACCTTTTTTACAGCTAAGACGTTTAAACATTTCGTTTTCATTTGAATTTTATAGCCTTTATTTCCGTCAGATAAAAAAAGAATAAAAGCATGAGAAAGAAAATATCAGCCATTTGGATATGCTAATGGTTTTAAATTTCTCACTTGCTATGAAAACATGTTTGATACAATTAATTAATGTTCTAGAAATTGTGAAATCTAGTTGCTGTTGATTCCAGTATATCGATTGAACCTTTCTCCCAGAACCTGGAAACCATTTCCGTGAGTGAAATAAAAATTATCTGAAACACATATTCAAAACAACAACGACAGTCGTAAAAAACACTGAACACGATATAACATGCAATATGATTGGTGGGCAAGTTTTCGAAGTAAAAGACATTGATCGTTCGGCTACGGACAGCCCAGAATGCATCATAAACTGACAAATCTAATATAAATTTAACTGCTATATTCTCCTATGGTATCACTATTTCTTTCATTAACAAGAATAAAATTGTCAACCCTTAATGTGCCGAATTTCCCAAGTCAACTTGTCAGATTTGTATTTGGATCAGTCCATTCGATATATCATTGTCAAAATACAAAAATAGGGAGTAATTAACAGTTTAGAAATTGGTCAGATTGAACAAATGCTAAATACTGGTGACAGGAGCTGGTCACTCTTTGGTTTCTCTCCTCTATAAATCATGCCAACTAAATTTGAAAGAAAACGTACACAAACTGATTTAATGATTAACCACCCATTCTTACTTGATTTCTGATTTATTGATTGTCAATCTCAGAAAAGATTTGATATACATTGACATAAAGACTAATATGAGTTAAATCACAATCATTTTCTCTGGTTCTAATAGAAAAATAACAAAATAACAATAAGAAAACCATTATCATCATTATAAAATGGCAAATATTATAAATTAGCGGATAATACTGCATAACATATGAAATGCGGAAGCCACGTTCTCAAAAAGCAATCGTTCTCTGTAAAATACAGTTTATGAAAGCAATTCGTTGATTTGATTATGCTAATACCTTTTAAATGGGATATATTTGAAGCAAACTCAATTATTTTCACATTTAGCAGATTTTACGTTACTAACACAAATAAGTTTATTGATTACATAATAACGAATAATTATTTTCTTAAAATATCGTCATTACATTCTCAAACAGTCTTCAAATTAGCAATGGTTTCAAGGAATATTATGCACCTCAAATGGTTAAAGAATGGATTGGCGTATTAGCAAATTATGCATTTGAAACATGGTGTATTTGGTCATAAAATATACAGCAGAATGAAATTTTGTCGAAAAAGCTCAATTGAATATCAAATTGGTAATGGATACTATTAGCCGTCAAGAAATTTTCCAAAACATATTAAAACCCATCTGTTAAAATATGCTCTTTAAAAGAATTGATTACAAATCAACAAAATAGTGTTTAGTTTGCATTTAATTAACCTAATGCTGTACATTACATATTGTAGAACTCAAACAATGATTCTATCTTACTTAATTCTATAATTCAATAACCTAAATCCTTATTTTGTTATTTGATACATGAATTGATGTAAGTTATCTGTTAGGTTATGTCCTTTCAACTTTGATTTGAAGTGATTGAGATTTTAAACAGATCAAACATTCTCGTAAATTACTTACCTGTCATGATTTACTTGCATGCCATGAATTACACATTAAACACTATTTTGTCCAGCTTAATATTGTAAGTTTTAAGACGTTTTATTATTTCTCTACATCTTCGAATCAGACGGTGCACATTTAGTGAAATTTTAACGATAATGGTAAATAGCCAAGGTTACAGACGATTCTTACTCGTGTAATTATTGTACGTACATCCTTTATATGTAATTGTCAGGATAGTATTTCATCAGAAGATAAAAAATATGTACTAATATATAGATTGACAATTATATTTTGTCTTAAGGTAACAAGGGCTTAATGTAATTGTATGTATCCAAGTAAATTGGCTGTGCTTAACAACAATACAGTTTGTTTTTTCCTTCTTTGTTTTTCTTGTTATGTATTATGTCGCATCAATACTGTAAAGGTCGTATGGCGACTTTCCTACTTTATTAGTGCCTATCTGCATACATAGTGCAAACCTAAATATTTTAGATGGACAAAAACGTTATAGTCATTTACATTTGATAGACCAGTAAGCTTTACAATACAACATTCATATGAAAAGAAAAACAACAACATTTATAGAAGGCATTAGGTAATAATACTAGTCGCCCATATTTTGGCAAGGAACTGATTACTTCTGTACATGCCAGAGCAGAGGTGAGCGTATGACGTTAGAAAGAATTTCAGGATCAATCACATTGACAGTGACCAGCACCGTCCGGGAACCAAACCTTGGTCGCCCAATTCATATTACGACGATTTTGATTCCCGGAAGGTGCAGATCAATGTTATTATCAAAGTTATACCCCATTTGATATCATTTTCCACGATTAATGTAGTGTCATCAATAAAACACAAAAAACTGAAATGAAAACGTTACAGGAGACCTACAATGATGTTACTAGAAGATTAAATAGTTAAATGTATCTTTAGTGTCTCTTTATAATCTATGACTAGACACTTTAATCTACATAACAAATTCACGGACATTGTCTCTTCTTGGTGCAAAACAATGAGATGTTGACTGCACCTATTATCTTTCAACAGCAAAAATAAGTCATCATAAAAACATCATAATTAAGTAATGCATGACAACATACATAAAATAAAAAAATAATGACAAAATTGCTTATATTACGATGTATGTGATGATTATGTGCGTTATTGTTTTGATGTCCTCAAACAAAACTATTGTATTTAGAATTATGAACGTTTGGCGATTTTCCAGCTTTCTTAGTGAAAGAAGACCGCCCCCAGGAATCCCTCCGTGCATTATTCAGGGACCAAAAGGACACCAAAAACCACCCTGGAAGGATTCAAACCTACAGCGGTAAGAGACAAGTGGTTTTAAGTCAACGACATTAACCACCCAAACACACGGTATAACTGTCAAAAGAAATGAAAAGAAAAAAGAACGGAAATATACACTATGATTTAAACGTAAATAAAGACTGAGAAATTAATTTAGCATTCCTCATGTGCCAATCTACATTCGCAGTGCAAAACTTATAAACATGGGAGATCGACCGAAATATTATTATATATCGTTTACATTTGATAGACAAATAAACTTTTAAACTTAAAACAAGACAGTGAAAGATAGTGATTTTCATTATCACAACGATACGGAAATATTAAAAACCGCGGTATTCAAAGGCACTTTCCTAATTCTCTGTAATGTATGATAATAACTGCAGTCTATATATCATTTAGTATTCTATTTGTTATATCTTTATCACTTTATTATCAGCACAATTGCAGTTATAATATATGTAAACTAAATACATGTACAAATTTAAAGTATCGAAATAAAACGAAACAAAATAACAAAAACGAGGCATAGATGTTAACTAAAATGTCAACACTTCTCAAGTAAACATTTCATTTCATTCAAAAACTATTATTGATGAAACAAATTGTCTCTTATTGTTTTGTCTGGTATAAATTTTTACATATTCTTAATAATTGTAACCGTTAAATGTGTGATATTTTGATCAGATACAGAAGTGATTCAAATGAAATCGTATTTATCTGTCTGCAGTGTCATTACTGGCATTTGCCACATATTGCATTTGTTGCTTCTTTACATACCGTCAATGCGTAAAATGAAACTGGAACCAATTTAAATGAATTGTGTGTAAAAAAGCACAGTTAAGGTGTCCGATTGTAAAGACAGCTAAGTTACCGAAATAAAAAGACTTAAAATTAAGATATTGCTAGGGTAAACCCAATGAATTAAACGTAGTAAACTGTTTACACACCCAAATCATTGAAAATTAGATGAAATCATGATAATTTTGATAATCAATCAAAAATAAGGCTGCAAAGATAAAGTTTTGAAGAAATCCTGCAAAATAACCAAATGAAACAGCAAATCTAAATTATCATAATTCATCACACACCATAACACATAAAACCGCCAAAATGAAGAAAAAAAGAATTTCTAGTGAAATTACCTAGTGATCAGAACCATAGAATATTGCACAAAAGGCAAACTTAATTGAAAAGCAGGCTCTTGTATAATTCTTGACACTTATGGAAATACATGTATTAGAAATTAAAAATCGGAAAGAAATGTCATTATTATCAAGTAATTTATATCGACACAGACTATACATTATGTTATAATTGTGAAATGTCCTATCAAAACAGAGAAAACCGTTAGAGCGCTTGAATACAAACGAGACTACACGCATTCTATCAAGACGTTTACCTTACAATGCATTGTATTTTTTATCAAGGACATGAGTTTGTTAATCATTTGTGTGCGCATTTAAAGTACAAAACGCGTATGCTTTTTACAATAAACAAATGCAGTGTAAACTACAAACAATCCATCTGTGAAGATTACTTGATGGATTCCATTGTTATTATTCCGAGAAAGGAATACTGTTGACGCCGGTGTTATAGGTCATAGGCTGTGTTGCACTTATAATTGTAGTTTGTGAGACACCTCGACTGCAGTTTTCACATACTGCATTGTTGTCACAGGACTTGATGAAGTTCCTTCTTTCGTACGTCTTCTTGTTGGCTGACAGTGTTAATTATAAAGTCATAAATATACAATATCACGAATGTCTAGCATTATAAGATTTGATACATAGATTCTGCACTTTAAAATTGCAACATATCGTGAGTTACAATATAGTTAAGATTGGTTCGTAAAAACAATCAATTATATAGTATAGATATTTTAGATGCAAATATTAAATGTTTAAAAGCACGCATGTAACTATACTTTTCAAATAATATACTATACATATATAAGCTTCATTTGCAAAAAATTGGCATTCTAAATTTTTTAACAGCAAATACCGACAAGAGTGTTTAAATAAGAAAAACTCTTTCTTTTTCATTAGCTGTAGTGTCTTTTCAATAAATTTATCTTCAAATTATCACATAACTCTTGCTGCATGCAGCTTTAAAGCATAATACAATGTACACTTTTACGGCAATGTTTGGTTGTAAAAACTTCATCTATGTCAACATGGTGTTTCTCAGACCATCTTATTGGAATCAAATTGACTTGTTGAATATAAATTTATTACATTACACGGCGGCGCAATTCTTAAGTGCACAAACACAATTATTTATTATTGCTTTTCGTCTGGACATTCTCCTCTTGGGAATTACAAGTCATATAAATAGTCCTGACCCGTCAATAATGATTGTTTTGTTAAAGTGAGGAATATCTCGTCTTTCAAGATGAGCACGTCTTTAAAATGTTTGTGTTCAGCTTATTACACCTTACTTCTTGAAAGTATGTCTCTATAGAAACATAAGAGCCATAAGAAAACCTTGCTCCTCATACTATTTACATTATTATTGCCCATTGACATAACAAATGTTTAAAAATACGCATATTTTTGTACTTTTATTGGCCATGATTTGATTCATTAATGATACCTTTTGTAAAATTATAAGAAATTTCAATCATTTTTGAGTTTCAGTTGCAACTTGCTCGTTGCAAAGATACGAAAGATTGTTATATGGTCAAGATATAACATGCATAATGTATGAAAATAAACTGCCAAGTAATGTTATCCACTCCACAAACTAGTTGTCTAGCTCGAATTTTGCCCAAACCGCAGTTTTAGCATAATATGCAGCTCCAAATGACTTTCCAGAGCAAATTTTCTCATTTACAACTATCCTTATACACTTTTATTAAACTGTATTGCATGTTAAAAATCACATCAAAGCATTTTTCTTGTTATGTGTTTCTTCCTCTTTTAAATGATTTATGACCGATTAACAGAAACGGTCCCAAATGCATACGCAGATTTGCTCGAATACTGCAGAAATAAAAGTCTCCAAGGAATCCCAGAATATGAAATAAGAATAAAGAATTGATTTACCACACCAAAATGTCACGCAACAGACACTCAAAACACATAAGCCTAATGTTATTTATCACCATTTTATTGAAAAGGCATGGAGGTTATACAATTTGTTTCTTAAAGGCACGAATTTAGAATCTCTCCAAAAGATAAAAAAATGGCCTTTGCGTCCTGTGGAAACATAAAACACGGCATTCCAAACGAAGTCAAGAGCAAAGTAATAAGATTCAATCTTAATAAATGCATTTTGATGTTCCAAACCAAAACATGTGAGCACTTGATCAAACAATAAATACTTGTTCAGTTTCAAGTTTAATAGTATTCTAGAAATATGGATAAAATACGTTAGAATTTATTCAATGTATATTAACCAAAGTCTTAAGCAATACCAGCATATGTGTTGATACTGTAAGATGCAATTTTCTTAATCAGTCATAAATTTAAATATTTACAATTGTAAGTAAAAGTACTTTCATCTGTATTAGAACGGTATTATACACATGTATGTTTGACATTAATTCCATCTTTTCAATACTCATATGTCATTGTTACATACTGCACAAATGTTGTATATAGTCCGGAGGCCTTAGTTCAAAACAAAATTTGAAACTTGATCTTCTGTTTATTCATTTCTACGGCATACAAAGAACCCTTATAATCATACTGATATTGGTCAATATTATTACAACCGATAAATATAATGATATATATAAAAAATGGTAAATTCTCAAATAAAAATGGTAAATATCAAATAACAATGGTAGATGTTTTAAAGATGGATTAAAAATATAATGTTTATCATTTAATTATTATATTGTATGATTGGTGGGGCCGGTGATGGTAGGATTGTCATTTTATTCTGTGGTAGCCAGTATCAGCAATGTTAATTTGATGCTACTTGATTTGATTTATTCAAATAATATGAAGTATACACAATGAATTTCAACCAACATGACGGTTTGATAATAAAACGTTCATTATATATTTTTTGTTTAAAAAGTAGAGTTAAATTAGACAACATAATTAAAACAAAGTATATTATAATACAAAATAAATTAAAAGAAAATTCATTGTTCCGGATACGCTACAGCTACAAAGGAATACAATAAGTGTTACAATTACAAATTCTTTAATCTTTGTTGCTCTGAAGCTCCTTGTTTCAAAAAGTAAGTGAAATGAAAATAAAACATTTAAAAAGTATCAATGAAAAAACGAATATTATTTCATCGGCATAATGACCCTTTTTTAAGCTGTTAAATTTGAAACAAATATCTAGTTCACATACCTTAGCCGGTAATTGTCATTCAGAAAACCTTTTACATATCCAACATCGTAGAACTTGCACAAGTCCTTGCGGCTATAATTCAAGCAAATCTACAAAAAATATACAATATAGAGTACAAACTTTTTCGCATTTACCTAAGTACGAATAAGTATAGACAGTATGCACGAACTTTTATCAGATACACCCGTGGTCTATCTAACTACTGCAAATATTCCTTTCAATTGGAACATTGCACAGCAATGTATCATTTACGGGACACTGCATCACTTTGTATCATTTACAGGACATAACACCACTATGTATCATTTATAAAATTGAGCGCAACATCTTCAGTCAGATAGAGACAAAGGAAGAAGATCGCGTGAATATTTACAATATAACCATCATGCATGTTTCCTCAATGTAACACCGAATATTTCTGTCAAGTAAAAATCTATCATTTTAAGAAATTCCCAGCAAAATCAATATTTCAACATGGAACAAAATTTATTTATAGATTCATTATATAAAATTATCATTCTAACAACAGACGTAACTGACAGTATTAGCTTTTAATCAGTTACTTCTATAGAAGTAAGTACTTGGAACACGTAGTTTGGGAAAAGAGTACAGCATGCACACATTGTAAAAGTATATGGAGCGCTATAATGCTTTGCAAGCTTGTTACAAATTTTTTTCCCGTACCTTCTCCCACTTAATTACAATTCAATATGATTGCATATTAGTTGTTATTTTCACTTTTTGTTACTTTTGTTGTACTATAATTACGCATTTCACTATTTATAATTGAATTGTAATTATTTCATGTTAGTAACAAATGTAATAATACATGTTGTTACTGTACATTATACTTTACTTTTTATATTCTCGGGAAAGAAATTAACATAAGTCGTTGACTTGTTTTTCAATCCTTTCTCAGTATTTAAACATGTTGTCGATCCGATATGCCTGCATGAATATTGTTGAATCACCTTAGGAAATGTTGCCTGCTTTTTAAAAGTTGTCTTTTGACGAAATGTCTATGATATGCAGGCTTCATAACCTCGATCCCCTTTCAAAATAAATGCCATTTAATTTAGTTCTGCACATTGTTTTCAAGTTAAGGGCACATGCATTCTTTCACTTGGGACCATACGCCGCTTTTCATGGAATGACACGAACGTGTCACATTGAAGATTCCATGATAAACGCCATATGCGGATGTTTCTAAATTCAAACTTTCACAATGTTCATATTAAATGTTGAATTTTGCTAAAGCCGGTGCTACAGGGGCTTGAACGGTAGTTTGCACTTGACAGTACCGTCCATGAACATGCTCAATCAGATCAAGCCTGCAACATTTTCAATTTTGCCGTTTTAGACTTTCTTTTCTCTATTGAACAATATGAAATAAATACTGTTTAAACAAAACTTGTAAAATACTAATGTTTTAACTTTAAATAGAATTCCAAAACAAAGTCAATATGTCATATTTTAACGATTTCCAAGAACTTTATTATATAACTACGTTTTGTTTTTGAATGTGTATGAACATTGTAGGATTAAGGAGCATTGATATTTTTATAAGCAGCATGTCATTCAAAAAACTGCTATGGTAAGTTAAATCATGCAGCATTTCCGGTTAAATTCATATTACCTTGTTAGCGCAAAACTTGAAAAATAGATTTATGCTAGTCTTAAATTGATAGATACATTAAATGGAAATTATATAAAAATATCAGGCTTAAAGCTCAGGAAACTTTAATCTTATATCCAATATCATCCATTTGGTTTAAATCATTAAAATGATTCAATTTTGCACTTGTTTTGTTTCGTTATTAAATCAATTTATCTGTTTCTGCAGCAAAAAAGAAAATTTTCAAAGGCTTTAAAATAATGGTTTAGTTTTGTTTACAGGAGGCCGATGGCATTTGTATCACATTTGATCCATTATACTAGATGTAAATCACATATTTGTTCCATTATGAAACACATTTTCGACATATTTACGTTATTGTTAATTGTTCGCAGTTGTTTCTTTTTCAAAACCTAAGAAACAGATCCCTTCAAACCATTCTAACTATACATATTAAACTTTCATTTACCCAACTTATTTATGTTCAAGATTATCGATTAGACCATTGAAGACTTATATGATTTATATAAGGTAAAATTTGATATCAAGGCCATGCTATTACATTAAATATTTCCTGGAAAACATGGGGAATGTACAACCAGCATCACATGTTATACATTTAGATGGAATGAAAATTTGAATAAAAAGTATGACGGTTAATTTATCAAGTTTAAATGTCTTCACGGTGTTGTCGATATAATGAGAATGTTGTGTGTATCAAACAAATCATTGCAATTGTTTTATTTTATTTTCACTTTGTATATTCTTATAGCAAAAGCATAAAAATACAAAATCAACTTCACCAGTGATTCAAGCAAGCATTTAGATGAAAAAGAACATTTGCTTTATTACAAAAAGGCTGACTTCAAACGACAATACAGGTATGCAATTTATAAATGTGTTCTGCACATTTTCTAGGTCTGAATTAATTTGATTTCTAGTGCATTTCAAGAGGATTCAAAAGAAAATAGAAAAATTCAGTAAAAACCAGAATGCAGTCATATTATGTCTTAATATATTTTTTACAGTTTAGACGAATAAACATTTTCATTTGAATTTAAAGTCTTTGTTTCCTTCAGATAAAAACGCACGAATAAGACATGTGAAAGAAAATATCAACCTGTTGAATATGCTAATGGTGTTAAATTTCTCACTTGCTATGAAAACATGTTTGATACAATTAATTACTGTTCTAGAAAATGTGAAATTTAGTCGCTGTTGATTCAAGTTTATCGATTGAAACTGTCTCCCAGAAGCAGGAAAATATTTCCGAGAGTGAAATAGAAATTATCTGCAACACATATTCAAAACAAGAACGACTGTCTTCAAAACATAAAAAACACACTAAACACGAAATAGAATGCAATTTGATTGTTGGGCAAGTGTTTAAAGTTAAAAACTTGATCATTCGGCTACGGACGCCCATAATGCATCTTTAAAAGACAAATCTAATATAAATATAACTGCTATATTTTTCTATGGTATCATTATTGTTTTCATTAACAAGAATGAATTTGTCAACCCTTAATGTCCAGCTTTGTTTTTGGAACATGTCATGAATTACACATTAAACACAATGGTGTCCAGCTTAATAGGGTAGCAATGCAAGTTTTATGACGTTTTTTTATTTCTCTACATCGTCGAATCAGACGGTACATATTCCGTAAAATTCTAACGATGATGGTAAATAGCCAGGAATACAGGCGATTCATAGTCTTGTAATGATGTGTACGTATATCCTTAATATGTAATTGTCAGAAGATATGAAAATAACAATATATAGATTGACCGTGTTATTTTAGGTAGCCAGAGCTTAATTTAATTGTATGCATTCATGTAAATTTGTTTAGCTGAAAAACATCACTGTTTTCAGTGCTGGGGTTGTTCGAACTCTACAGACGTGGCATCAAACCAAGGACACACATTTTGTTGTTGTTGTTCTTTCTTTTTCTTGTTATATTTTATGTTGCAAAAAACTGTAAAGGTCGTTTGGCGACTTTCCAGCTTCATGAGTGGAGGACGACCACCTCAGGAGCCCCTCCGTGCATTATTCAGGCACCCGAATAACCGACGTTCCTTAAGCGCGATGGATAGCTTCCTCAATGAAAATATCCAACTCCCTGGGGCGATTCGAATCTATAGCGATAAGAGACAAGTTGTTTTAAGTCAAGGACCTTAACCACTCGGACACTCGGTATTATTGTTAAAAGAAACGAAAACAACAACAACAAATGAACACACGCTTTGATTAAGAAAAAAAGTCTATTATCAAATAGACTGAGAAATACTCAGATAAGTTAAGTATTGAATACCCACAGATATCGTAGTAAGCTTAACATGTGCCAATCTGCATACGTAGTGTTAACTATAAACATGGCAGATCGGCAGAAAATGTATAGTCATTTACATATGATAGACCAGTGAGTTTTTAAATGCAACTTTCTATAATATATATAAAAACAACAACAACAACAACAAGACAGTAAAGGTAAGTGATTTTCATCATCAAATCTATACGGAAATATTAAGTACATTGGTACACAAAGGCACTGACCAAATTCTCTATAATGTATGAGAATAATTGCAGTATATCTTTCATTTAGTATTCTATTTCTTATATCTTTATCACTTCATTGTCAACAATAATATATGTAAACTGAATACATACTTGAAGTATCGAAAAGGAACGAAACAAAATTTACGCATAAGAAAGAAAACGATGCATGGATGTTACTTTAATAGTGTTAACACTTCTCAAGTAAACATTCCATTTGACTTAAAAACTATAATTGATGAAACAAATAGTCTCCTATTGTCTTATCTGGTATAATTATTTACATATTATAAGTTATTAAGTTAAATGTCTGATATTTTAATCAGATACAGAAGTGATTTTAAATGAAATCGTATTTATTTGTCTAGTGTCATCATTGACATTTGCTACATATTGCAAATGTTCAGTGGTTTAATTTTTCTTTATATAACATCAATACGTAAAATAAAACAATCAAGAACAAAATCTAGAAATGTGTCCATAGGACATGGGTGCCCTCACACTCCACCGATTTGTCAATCTCAAATTTTTTTTGGCTACATACAAGTACTACAAATACTGAATAAATCCATAAGTACACATGCTGACCAACATTCTTGAAAACTTTCAGGTCTACAGGTCAAATACTTTTTGAGTTACGTGCAACCAACATTCTTGTAAACTTTCAGGCCTACAGGTCATAAATTTTTTGAGTTACATGCAACACAAGTTAGATATTGTCAATTTTTACTAGGTCAAGGGCAATAACTCTTAAAATACTAAAAGTATCCACACAAAATACCCAGGTGCACAACTACACATGCTGAGCAACATTACTGTAAGGTTTCATGACTCTAGGTCAAATACATTTTTAGTTACGTGCAACACAAGTTGAAAATTGGAAATTCTTACTAATTTAAGGGCAATAACTCTAAAAAAAACTAAATATATCCATAAGAAAATACCCAGGTGCACAATGACACATGCTGAGCAATATTTTTGGAAGGTTTCATGACTTTAGGTCAATTACTTTTTGAGCTACGTGCGACACAAGTTGAAAATTGCAAATTTGTACTAAGTCAAGGGCAATAACTCTAAAAATGCTAAATTTATCCACATGAAAATATCCAGGTGCACAACTTTACATGCTGATCAAGATTTCATGACTCTAGGTCAATTACTTTTTGAGCTACGTGCGACACAAAAAGGGAACGGACCGAAGGACGGACGGATGGACGGACGGACAAGGGTAAATCTTAATGCACCCCCACAATAAATGAATTATGTTTAAAATAGCGCAGTTCAGGTGTTCAAATTTAAAACACGGGTAACTTAGCCAAATGAATAAAACGTAGTAGATTGTTAATGCGCCAAATAAATTGATAACGTGATTTGAAAATCAAACGAAATCACGATATATAACTATCTATTTCTCATAATTTATCAGCCTCCAACGTTCCAGGGGGTTAAACCCCTCTTTATTAAAAATTTTGATGATTTTAATAATTATTGAAAAATATGTCCACTAAGATAAACCTAGGAAATAACCAAAGAAACAGCAAATCTAAGTTATCACAATTCGTCACATAGCAGAACATAACACAACCAAATGAAAATAATAAAATTCCTAGTGTAATAACCTAGTGATCGTAACCAAAGAATAAAACACAAAAGACAAACTAAATTGAAATGTCTGAAATATCTAGCGGGCTCTTGTATCATTCTTGACTTGACACTTATGGAAACATTAGAAATAAAGTATCGGGAAGAAATGTCATTATTATGAAGTAGCTGATATCGACACAGACTATACAAATGTACATTATGTTGTAATTGTGAAAATGCCCTATTCAAGTAGAATTTGAAACAGGGAAAGCTTTAGAGCGCTTGAATACAAACGAGACTACAGGCATTCTATCAAGACGTTTATCTTACATTGTAATATTCTTTTGCCAATGACATAAGTTTCTTAATCATTTCTGTGCACATTTGAAGTACAAAACGTGCATGCTTTAAACAATAAACAATTGCAGTGTAAATTTTAAATATTTCGTCTGGAAAGATTATTAGTCTTGAAAGATGATATTGATTCCATTGTTTTTATTACGAGAAATGAATACCATTAAAGCCGGTGCTAGAGGGCATAGGTTGTGTTGCTTGCACTTATAATTGCAATTCGTGAAACACCTCGAGCAAACTGAGTCTGCAGTTTTCACATACTGCATTGTTGTCACAGGTCTTGATGAAGTTTCTTTTTCGTACGTCTTCTTGTTAGATGACAGTGTTAATTGATAAGTGACAAATATGACATAACTGGCATTGTATGAATGTCTAGCTTTAGAAGATTTGATACATAGATTCTGTATTTTAAAATTGCATCACATCGTGAGTTACAACATAGTTAAGATAGGTTCGCAAAAACAACCAATCATATAGATATCTTAAATGCAAATATTTAATGTTTAAAAGCACTCATGTAACTATGTTTTTTTAAATATATGCATGTACTAAGTTTCATTTGCGAAACATTGGCATTTTAAAGATTGTTTAACAACAAATACCGACAAGCGTGTTAAAATAAGGACAAGACTCATAAAATACCTTCCTTTTTCATTAGCTGTAGTTTCTTTTCAATCCAATTTTCTTCAAATTATTACATAACTCTTGCTGCACGTAGCTTTAAAGCACAATACAATGTACGGCAATGTTTGAAGGTAAAAACATCATCTATGTCAACATGGTGTTTCTCCGACCATCTTATTGGAATCAAATTGACTTGTTGAAGAAAAATTTATTACATTACACGGCGACGCAAATCTTAAGTGCACAAATACAATTATTTGATATTGCTTTTCGTCTGGACATTCTCTTCTTGGGAATTACAACTCATATAAATAGTCCTGACCCGTCAATAATGATTGTTTTGTTAAAGTGAGGAATATCTCGTCTCTCAAGATGAGCACGTCGTAAAATGTTTGTGTTCAGCGCTTATGGTGTTTTTTATATTTCACCTTAGTTCTTGATATTATACGTGTGTCTCTACAGAAATATAATAACCATAAAAAGCTTTTCTCTCCATACCAGTCACATTATTATTGCACATTGGCATAACAAATGTTTAATAAAACATATACCTTTTGTTTGAGATCATTTATGCACATTGAAATAACACGTGTTTAACAATACAAAGTCATGTTGTTGGCCATCATTTGATTCATTTATGATATCTTTTGTATAAATATAAGAAACTATCATCATATCAAGTTTGCTTCAGAAAAGTTTCATGTTCAGCTGCAACTTGCTCGTTGCTAGCATCAGAAAGATTGCGTTATTTAAACAAGATATAATGTATAAAAATTAGCTGCGAAGTCTTTTCATCCACTTCAAAAATAATTGTTAAGCTCTACCCCAGTTTTGCTATAATATGCAGCTCTAAATGACTTATAGCAAATATTCTCATTTACAACTATCCTATTATAGTTAATACAATTTTTCTTATACTGTTTTGCATGTCAAAAATCACATCAAAGCATTTTTCTTGAAATGTGTACCTTCCTCTCTCACATGATTTATGACCGATTAACAGAAACGGTCCCAAATGCATAGTAATACGCAGATTTGCTCGAATACTGCAGAAATAAAAGTCTCCAAGGAATCCAAAAATACGAAATAAGAATAAAGAATTGATTTACCACACCAAAATGTCACGCAACAGACATACAAAACACATAAGCCTAATGTTATTTATTACCATTTTATTGAAGAGGCATGGAGGTTATACAATTTGTTACATAAAGGCATGGATCTAAAATCCCTCCAAAAGAACGAAAAAATGGTATTTGCTTCCTGTAGAAACATAAAACACGGCATTCCAAATGAAGTCAAGAGCAACGTAATAAAGATTCAATCTAAATGAGTGCATTTTCATATCCCAAACCAAAAAATGTTGAACTTGATCAAACAATTAATGCTTGCTACAGTTTGAAGTTAGATAGTATTTTAGAATAGATAAAAGACGAAAGAATTTTATTCAATGTGTATTAACCAAAGTCTTAAGCAATACAAGCAAATGTGTTGATACTGTAATACGCAATTTTCTTAATCAGTCATAAATTTAACTATTGAAAATTGTAAGCAAAAGTACTTTCATCTGTATAAGAACTGTATAATATACATGTATGTTTGACATTAATGCCATCTTCTTTTCGACACTCATATGTTATTGTTATAATATTGCTGCACAACTGTTGTGTATGGGACGGATGCCTTAGTACAACATAAACTTTAAAACTTGAAACTTGATTTTGTGTTTATTCATTTCTACGTCATACAAATTATACTGATACTTGGTCAATATTATTGCAACCGATAAAAATAATACTAAATATCAAAACAAAAATGGTAAATAAATTTCAAATAACAAAGGTAGATGTTGTAAATATGGATTTAAAATTGAAATATTTGTCATTAACTGATTATATTGTTTCAAGTTTATCACTATTTTGTTTCATCAATATATGAAGTATACATAAAGAATTTCAACCAACATTGGAACTTTTAAGGATCCAGTAGTTGATGGTTTCATTATCAAACGTTAATTCGTGTTATTTGTTTAAGCAGTATATTAAGAATGAAAATAAAACAACATAAATAAAACAAAGGATATTATAAGACGAAATAAATTAAATTATTCATTTCAACTATAAAGGAATTAAATTAGTTTTACTATCACCAATTATTTAATCTGTGGTGCTCTAAAGCTTATTAATTCAATGAAAACATAAAAATGAAAAAAGGGAAAACGAACATTACTTCATCGGCATAATTATTCTTTGATATAAATTGTTAAAGCAGCTGACCTACGAAAGGTAGCAGAAAATCTGCCGTCTTGCTAATATTTCAAAATCCCCCCTCAAACACATTATATTGTTGAAAGAAAACGAAATGACACTTCAAAATGTACATATCTTAACATTATTGCTCTGAAAACAAACAGTTCTCTTTTCCACCAACGGGAAATACCTTCTTTTATTATACCACGGAATTCTTTCATCCGGGTTTTTTTTCTAGTATCACGTGATCGTACAGGACAATAGCGTGACCTGTGCTCCGGAACGCACGGAATCCGGGATTTTATCAAACATATAGTGATACCAACAATTGCTTTTGTTTTTATATTTGTAGAAGTTCATGGCCCTAACAATTATAATTGATCAATTGTTTCATATATATAACGACCAATTTATAGATTTAACCTTTAGCTTGAAATGTGATAGTGGCCTACTCATGACGAATATTGATAAACGATCCCGGGCATACCGGATACCGGGGTTTTTCCGGACCACTGTTGTGACATGTGACCCCGTTTAATGAATTATCTTTTCCTATTTATATTGGCTACTGCATTAGTAACGTAGTAGATTATGGAAAAGAAACACCCGATCAGTGATGATGGATTTATACAATAAACCTATCTAGATCAGTATTTATTGTTTACTTGAAATTTTATTTCATTTTTTTTTCATTTTACCATCTGGAGGTCAGTGGCTTTAAAGTAAAAAAAAAAACAAATATCTAGTTCACATACCTCAGCCTGTGCTTGTCATTCAGAAAACCTTTTACATATCCAACATTGTAAAATGTTGCACAAGTTCTTTCGTCTTATAATTCAAGCAAATCTACAAATAAAGTTACAATATCATGTACCAACTATTTCGCATTTCCTTAGGTTAGATCTAAGACATTATGCACGATTTATCAGATACACTAACGGTCTAGCTTACCACTACAAATTCTCCCTTCAGTTGTGACATGTACTTACAGGACACTGCATATCTTTGTATAATTTACATAACACCACTATGTATCATTTATAAAATTCCGCACAACAACTCCAGTCAGATAGAGACAAAGGAAGTAGATTGCTTGAATATTTACAGTAAACGCCGACTATTTTTGTCAAGTAAAATCTATCATTTCAAGAAATTAACAGGAAATTCAATATATCAACATGGAATATAATTCATATATGAGTTTATCATTGTAACAACAGACGTTACTGACATTATTAGCTTTCAGTCAGTAACTTCTATAGAAGCTACTACTTTAAACACGTAGTTTGGGAACAGCGCATACGTATTGGCAACTTATATGGAAGGATATATTACTTTACAAGCTTGTAAAATGCAAATGTTTTAACTAATAAAATTCCAAATTAAAGTTAAAATTTAACATTTCAACGATTTCCACGAACTTTATTATATACCCACGTTTTGTTTTCGAATGTGTATCGGCATTGCATGATGAATATAAGGATCATTGATAATTTTTCAAGCGCTTTTTCGTCCAGCATTTCGATTAATCAACTTTAAGCACGTTATTCACAAAACTCCTATGACAAGTTAAATCATGCAGCTTGACATTATCTTGTTGAATTTTTTTCGATATTAATTTTAAACTCATAGGCACATTAAATGGAAATCATATAAAAAATACCATGCTTAAAGCATAGGAAACAGAATTTAATCTTATATCAATACCATTCATTTGGTTTAAATCATTAAAATGATTAGATCTTGTGCTTGTTTTGTTTCATTTCATTAAATCAATAAAGCTCTTTTTGCAGCAAAAAGAGAAATGGTTAAGGCTTCAATATAAAATATAATTGTGTTGTTTGGTTAACAAGAAGACGATGGCATTTGTATCGCATATGATCCATTTACACTAGATGGAATTCACACATTTGTTCTATTATGAAACACTTTTTCGACATATTTACCTAATTGTTATAAATTCGCAGTTTTTTCCTTTCAAAATCGCTTCAAACCATACAAACTGTACTATATTTGTTTTAACTATTTTAAACTTTTAATTCCCCAACTTATTACTGTTCTTATCGACCGTTGAAGCCATGCTACTATATTAAATATTTCCTGGGAAACATGGGAATGTACAACCAGTATTAATATATAATACATTCAGATGAAATTACATTTTGAACAAAAACTATGAGGGTTAATTTCACGGGGTATTTTGTTAAAGTTTAAATATCTTCACGTTGATGTCAATATAATAAGAATATTGTGTGAATTGAACAAATCGTTGCCAATTCTTCATTTTCTTTTCACTTTTTATATTCTAAAAGAGAAAGCATAACAATACAAAACTCAACTTCAGAAGTGTTTAAAGTAACAAGAACATTTGCATTATTGCTAACAAGGCTCGCTTTAAAAGACAATACAGGTATGCATTTTATCAAGGTATTGTTCACCTGTTTTCTAGGTCCGAACAAATTTGATTTCTAGTACATTTCAAAAGAAGATCCAAAATGAAACAGAAAAAAAATCAGTAAAAAAAACCAAAACAGAATGTAATCATATTATACGTTAAAACCTTTTTACAGCTTAGACTAATAAACATTTCGTTTTCATTTGAATTTTAAATCTTTCTTTGTTTCCTTCAGATTTAAAACTTAAGAATAAAAGCATGTGAAAGAAAATATCAACCATTTGAATATGCTAATGGTGTTAAATTTCTCATTTGCTATGAAAACATGTTTGATGCAATTAATTACTGTTCTAGAAATTTTGAAATCTAGTCGCTGTTGATTCCAGTATATCGATTAAACCTGTCTCCTAGAACCAGGAAAACATTTCCGTGAGTGAAATAGAAATTATATGCGACATATATTGAAAACAAGAACGGCTGTCCTCAAAACACACTGAACACGATGTAACATGCAATTTATTGTCGGGCAAGTGTTTGAAGTAAAAGACATTGATCATTCGGATACGGACGCCCAGAATATATCGTAAACTGACAAAATTAATATAAATATAGCTGCTATATTTTTTTGAGGTATCAGTATTGCTTTTTTAATAACCATGAATTTGTCAATCTTTAATGTGTCGAATTTCCCAAATAAACTTGTCCAGGTCTGTATTTGGAACAATTCATCCGATATATCAATATCAAAATACAAACAAGGGAGGTATTTACAGTTTAGAAATTGGTCAGATGGTACAAATACTCTATATTGATGACAGGAGCTGATCACGCTTGGTTGTTCTATGTAAATCATGTCAACTTAATATGAAGCAGAACCTACACAAACTGATTCTGATTCAATAATTTACCACTCATAGCATCACATATGAAATGCAGAAACCACGGTTACAAAAAGCGATCGTTCCCTGTTTAATACTGTTAAAGAAAGCAATACGTTGACTTAAACGCAGTTTGATTACGCTAATGCCTTTTAAATGGGATATATTTGGAGCAAACTCAATTATTTTCACATTTAGCAGATTTTACATTTCTAACTCAAATAAGTTTATTGATTACATAATCACGAGTAATTATTTTCTTAAAATATCGTCATTACATTCTCAAACAGCCTACAAATTAGCAATTTTCAAGGAATATTATGAACTTCAAATAGTTGAAGAACGCAATGGCGAATTATCAAATTATGCATTTAAAACATTGTGTATTTGGTCATAAAATATACATACAGAAGAAATTAATTTTGCTCGAAAAGCTCACCTGAATATAAATTTGTTGCTTGCATACTATAAGCCGTCAAGAAATTTCATAAACATATTAAAATCAGTCAAAACATGCCCTTTTAACAAATTGCAAGAAATCAACAAAATTGAGTTTGCATTGCATTAAACTTTTTGAGCATATAACATATTGTAAAACTCAAAAAATAATTCTTTCTTAGTTATTTATACATTTCCTTTTTTGATAGATGCTGAAATAAATATTGATTTAAGTTATATGAGCCGCGTCACGACAAAACCAACATAGTGCGTCTGCGACCAGCATGAATCCAAACCAGCCTGCGCATCCGCGCAGTCTGATCAGGATCCATGCTGTTCGCTATCAGTTTATCTACTTTTTATATGGTTTGTAAGCGAACAGCATGGATCCTGATCAGACTGCGCAGGCTGGTCTAGATCCATGCTGGTCGCAAACCCATTATGTTGGTTTTGTCGTGACGCGGCTCATATGTTAAGTTTAGGCCTTTCAACTTTGATTTTAAGTGATTGAGATTTTAAAACATAACACACATTCTCATGAATCACTTATCTGTCAAAGATTACTTACATGACATAAATTACATATTAAACATAATTATGTCCAGCTTAATATGGTAGCAATGCAAGTTCTAAGACGTTTTATTATTTCTCTACATCGTCGGATTAGACGGTGCACATTACGTGCAATTTTAACGATAATGGTAAATAGCCAAGGTTACAGACGATTCTTACTCTTGTAATGACCTGAACGTATATCCTTTATATGTAATTGTCAGATAGTATTTCATCAGAAGATAATACATGTACCATTATAAAGATTGACAATTATATTTCATATTAATGTAACCAGAGCTTAATTCAATTGTATGTGCAATGTATTCATGTTAAATTTTACAAGACAAATCAACACTTTTGACCTCAATTATTCTTACTTAATGCTTTAAAACATGTTGCTTTTTATGTTAATATGTTGTGACTTTTTATGTATCTATTTATTGTTGCTTAACTATGAAGATGAAAGATTCGGCTGATCAGCTATAATACCGTTGCTATTGATGGGAATTTTGAAATAATCAAAAAATGAAGAAACTAAAAAAGATAAATGTTTCACGATCTGAGCCAGTGCAAGGATTCAGTGTAAGGATCCAGAGTTTAGTGCAAGTTGCATTCCGTGCCGTGTTTACATTCATGAAATATGATCATTAATCATTCCCAGAAATGATTGCATGATATTCTGTTATAATGTTTTTAACTTGTTTTTCCACTACAGACATATAGGTGACTAATTGGTACTTTTGTTTTGTTACCAAAAAGGCTATTGCAGATATCATTTGAAGAATATTGTGATCTTGTAATTAAGTCATTAACATTTAAAATCCAATATAAATCAGAATTAGAATATGGAAAGTAGCAAAACACTAAGCCAATATGTTAATATTTGAGCTATAAATAAAGACCCGTTCGCAATTTACATATAAGTTCATTGAGCTTTTGTTTTAAAGATTATGCAATATTATTACTTCAATTATTATAAGCTTTAACATTATAGAGGTATATACAGTATCTTAATGCTGCTGTTCAAAATCTAGGACAAAATGACTTTGGGCCAACATCTTATACTTACATCACATCGGTAAACAGATATTCCCGAACCTGTGGTCGAATTCTGTAAACGTATGACAGTTTAGTAAGTTTCTTTTTAAAAGAAATGCTTTTATGAAAAATATTTAAATGTTTTACAGCACTTCAAAATGCATTTAATAATAAAAATGTACAATTCTTTGAATGTGCTTTCTTTTTAAACAATGCGCCATAATTGTTTCTTTTTATAATAATTTCATACAATGTCAAATGATTTCTGTTTTTTGTTGTTGTTTTTTTCCATACAATTCAAGGGAATGTGCCCCTACAACTCATATGTACTATTTTGTTTGTCAATCGAATGCGAATATATGTTGTTGTTTTTTAAAGCATTTATATCTCTTCAAGACAAACCAAAGCAAAGTGTCCTTAACATCTTTTATCTTTTTGGTAAAGATATTTGGCCAAGGGTGACCCGGTATAACATTTGCAGAATAATTTCTAGGTGTGGATGTAGCTAATTTTAATGCCTAGACAAAAGGCTGCAATGTCTC